AACAGGTCACCTTGATACTTAGAGTATTGGAGAGCCAGAAAATGTATTTTTCCGGTATTATCAAGACTTGCCTTGGATGTTTTCGCTGTTCCTGTCTCAACCGTCTCATCCAACAAACATTTAGTGCAAGTGGAGGATTTTAATGAAAGGAGGACTAAACTTGCTCCAAAAATGATTGAAGTCCTCACATGTCTTCGAATTGGGAACGATCGCGCCATCAAGATCAATACGAGGTTATTGACAATACTTTGTAGAATCGTTTCAATTTTGTAATGTAGATGATACAGATAGGGAGGTCCAGTGACCACCCCAAATTAGTTGTTTTGTAAAATGTATTTGTAAATTAATTGTCAATTATTGCACTCTTTTTCTTTACCAAGTTTTTCTCCCATTGAGTTTTTCTTGGTAGTTTTTAACGAGGCAATATGTTGTAATTTCTTATTTTTTTTTATAAATGAATAATTTTTCGTATATTATAATTTATTGTATCAAATTGAATTAATATTTGAAATGTTAACACACAAAAAAATTGAATTGAATTATTGATATTTGAAAAGTTAATTAAAAACAATTATATTTATAATTATTTATTTGAAAAGTTAAATTAAAAAACAAAAAACAAAAAAAAAAAGGAAAATCAAGCTAACCCGGCCTAGCCCGCCACCTAACCCGGCGGGTTAGGGCTGGCGGGCCGGGCTGGGCCAGCCATTTTGGAGAAAATGGCGGGTCTAACCCGGCTTGCCTTTGCTGGCGGGCGGGTTAGGCCCGACCCGCCAAACAAAGTAACCTGCTGCGGGCCGGGTTACTTTTCCACCTTTAGGTGTGACAAGAGTAGAAAATGGCCATATTTAGTCAATTGGTCAACTACCACCAAAATGGTATCGAACCCCTTGGCCCTTGGGAGTCCTCCAATGAAGTCCATTGTCAAGTCATCGAATGCTTGAGTGGGTATAGGCAGTGGCTATAGAAGTCATGTCAGCTTCAAGGCTGAGTGTTTATTAACTTGACATATGGTACAGCTCTTGACAAAGTTCTGAATATCCTTCTTCATTCCTACCCAATAAGCTACATTGGCTACTCTTTTATACGTCCTGAAGAAGCCGGAATGAATCGAGAACCTTTAGGCAAGACCAATCTGTCCTTGTACAATAAATAGCCATGGCGAAGTTTGTAGTTTGGTCGGCTGGTGGGTGCCACAACCAGATCTTGAATCAGCTGTCTAAGCTTGGGGTGCTGATGGGCTTCAGTTGCCAAATCCTCGTACTCTGCAAACTGACTCACTGACAATGATGATAATTCTGGTTCCTCCTCACGCCGGGATAAGGCATCGGCGACCTTATTAGTGGTTCCTGGCCAATAGTGAATATCAAAGGAATACCCCATTAATTTGGACACCTATTTCTACTATTCCGGGGTTTTAATCTGCTGATCCTTGAGGAATTGGAGGCTGCGCTGCTCCGCGCGTGTGATAAACTTCCTACCCAATAAGTACGGACTCCATTTGTGCACCGCGAAAACCACAGCCATCAACTCTATTTCATAAACTGATTTCTGTTTAGCTTGAGGGGAGAAGGCCTTACTTAAGTAAGCTATGGGTCGTTTGTTCTGAACTAATACAGCCCCCATACCATAACCCGAGGCGTCTGTGTGAATCTCGAATGGGGAGTTGAAATCCGGGGCTGCCAGGATAGGAACTGAGGTCATGGCCTCTTTTAAGGCCTGTTGTGCCTCTTGGTCCCAACTAAAAGAATTTTTGTTCAGTAGTCTTGTGAGTGGCTGGGCTATGCTTCCGTACCCCTTTACAAACCTGCGATAGTACCCCGTTAATCCCAAAAAACTGCGAAGACTCTTCACATTGGTGGGTGTGGGCCAAAAAACCATAGCAGCAATTTTCTGCAGATCTGCCTCAACCCCATTGGCTGAAATTAGATGCCCCAGATATTCCAGCTTCTGCTGCCCGAATAAACATTTTTTTAAATTCCCAACCAATTTGTTGTCATCCAGAATCCTAAAAGTTTGTCGTAGGTGTCTGATGTGGGATTCCAAGCCGAACGGTATAACCAAGAACTCGTAATGCCCTTCATGTGTTCGAAAGGCTGTTTTAGGGATATCTTCGTCCTTGATTCTGATCTGATGGTATCCGGATCGAAGGTCGAGCTTAGAGAAAATAGTTGCCCCTGCCAATTCATCCAACAGCTCTTCAATGGTAGGGATTGGAAATTTGTCGGGAATTGTTATTTCGTTGAGGGCCTTGTAATCCACACAAAACCTCCAACTTCCATCCTTTTTCTTGACTAACAACACCGGGCTGGCAAATGGACTGGTACTAGGCTGGATAATATGGGCAGCTAACATTTCTTCCACCAACTTCTCAATTTCATTTTTTTGATAATACGAATACCTATAGGGTCGGATGTTAGGGACTGGTGCTCCTTCTTTAAGGTTTATGGCGTGGTCGTGGCCTGAACTCGTGGGTTGATTTCGTCTCCAGTGGTCGTGAGTTTTTCCCCTAGCGAATAACATTCCACCAAGAATCCTCCCCCATGGTTGTTGATGGTCCGTAAAATGGATTTCAGGGAGACAACTGACTTCACCAGAGAAGGGTCCCCTTGTAAACTAACTCTGACCCCATAAACTTCAAAACTCATAGTCAACTTCTTCCAGTTAGCACAGACGTCCCTTAAGGAGCTCAACCACGTGATACCTAGAACAATGTCAGCTCCCCCGAACTCAAAGGGAAAGAAATCTTGCCTAATCTGAATCCCTTGCACATCTAGAGTAACCTGACAACACACCCCTCCTCCTTTCACAGTGACACCATTTCCCACCATCACTCCAAACACTTTCCCTTTTTCCACTGCAATACCAAGCTTCTCAACTAACTCCAGAGAAACTAAATTATGCGACGCTCTACTGTCAACCAACACCACCACATCGGCACCCCCAATTTGACCTTTTACCTTCAAGGTTTTATCTGACGTTATACCCATGATGGAGTTCATGGACAGAGCTAAGTCGTTTCCCTCTGGGCTGTAATTTTCGTCATTTTCCGGTGGAGTTTCACTCTTCTCAGACTCATCGTCATCAAATACCAACAGGATCTACAAGGATTTGCTCCAACAACGATGATTGGGGCCAAACTTTTCGTCACATCGAAAACAGAGGCCTCTTTCTCTTTTGTAATAGAGATCGGCTTCGGACAACCGCCGAAAGTTGCCTCCTGATCCCCCTTAGAAACTTGCGCTTGCATTTTCTGGCGTTCTCTCTTTCCTATCAGGTGCGCGAGAAGACGCGATCTGGCTTGGATCTGGTGGTTTTGTTGAGTTGGGCCACGGGGCGGGTCAGGTCGGGTCGGGGCTACTAGGTACTTTCGCTGGATTGGATCACCATGTGGGTCGGTTTGGGTCTGGGCTGCTGGAAACCCGTGAGTAGCTTTCCCTGGATCCCTAGGCTTTGAATGGTTTGACCGACACTTATCCATGACCCAGTTTTTCTCCTCCATGCGATGGGCCTGCTCAATCACTTCTTACAAGGAGTTGGGCCTTAACACTCTCAACTCAGCCCGTATTTCCTCTCTAAGCCCATTAATAAAGACTCCCATCAATATCTCTTCACCTAAGTCCTTCAACGATGCCATATGGGATTCAAAATCTTCTCTATATTCAGTCACGGTGGAGTGTTGCTTCAGCGCCACCAACGCCTCATACGCAAAACCCTAGAATGACGGCCGGAATCTGGCGATAAGAGCAGCCTTGAACTCATCCCAAGATTTGAAAGGTTCTCTCCCTTCCATCCATTGATACCAGTTCAATGCCCTACCCTCCATGCAAACTGTCGCGACCTCAACCATCTCCGACGATCCAAATTTGTTGATAATGAAGTAAGATCAACACGAAAAGTCCATCCAAAGGGATCTTCTCCACTGAAGATTGGAAGTTCCAGCTTTCGGCCTTTCTTCTCTTCCTTCCCACTTTCCCCGCTTGTTTCTTTTCCCTGTTCTCGGTCATTCCCAAATTCTGTATTCTCGGGAGTTGACTGATATTTCTCTTTTTCGCGGTATGGTTTCTCATCCCTCTCTTCTCTTAATCTCATTAATTCCCTCATCTCGGTCAAGTACTCCTTAAGGCTACCCACATCGTTTTTAACTGCACTCATATCCTCCTGCACAGACTTAATTTCTTTTTCCATATTTTCCATCCTACCTTCCATCTTCGATTTGACCATTCCCCACTCTAATACCAACTGTTGGAACCCTCCTACAATTCAGGGATTCACAGCAAAACAACACACACAAACAGCAATAATATGCACAAAACAGACAATAACATACTGTATTAATGGATACTGAGTAAATATGAAACAAGACCAAAGGAAAATAATAGATAGTGCCCAGCAGTTTGAGAAGCTGGGGACCTCCCACACAATTCCTGAATATATTTCTTGTTTTCTACTCTCCACACACTCTCTCTCTTTTATAAGCTAACTATTCGCTTCTGTAACAGTGTTGACAGCCACGTGTCGTTCCTCATAACAGCCTCAACAATCCTAACAACCTTTATTGCACACCTCACCACTTGTTAACAAACTCACACTCAACGTTCCATTATTCATATTCCTTCCCCTGCCCTTGGATTTATAGACCTTATGCATGGGAGGTCTAACAACCACTTATACAGCACAATCTATAAGTTTAAGGTCTTCCAAATTTTGGAAGCTATGAACCAACGTGCCGGGAATTACATCATCATTGCAATCTTGCAAATGCCGAAACTGTAAATTTTGAAAAACAAAACATAAAAACTTTTTTATTTTGATTTAAGGCATCAGATAAACTCGTAATTTCTGAAAAAAGAAAAACATACCTCTGGTGGATTCTGCATATTAGCTTCAACAATAATAGGCGTAGTCCAATTGGGGCAACCATCAACTTCTAACAGTTGCAACATAGGACAAGTTGAATAATAATTTTCAGAACAGAAGCTGATGAGTTTTGGGAGCCTTTAAAGTCGTATCTTTACTAGCGTAGGGAGCACGATATTTTTTCCATTTTCTATCTCTGCAATTTCGTCGCCCTGGTTATAATCTGAGACAATATGCTCCAGCCTCTCACAATCACTTATTATGAGTTCAACTAACTGCACCAAAAGTCGCACAATTGACAATGCGAAGATATTTTTCAAGTTACTGCAGCCATGCACTTCAACATGTGCAAGATTTTTGCTGCTTACAAGTCGGATGGGTCCCTTCCATATAAACCTCAATCCTGGTAAATTCCACAGCTCTAATGATTCCATACTTGAAAGCACCGCACTATTTTCTCCCTCAGTCTGGCATAAGCCTTCAAGTTTGAATATTTCAGATAGTTTATTGCAGGAAATGATCTCAGCCTTTTGTAATCGATGGAGTCTTTGAAGCAACACTGGTGGATATACGTTACACATACTGTGGCATTCTGAAATTTCCACAGTTTCCAGTTTTTCAAGAAACGTATTTGGAGGCTCTGCCCCTTTGCATATCTCTTCTAGATGACTCATTTTAAATAAAATCAATGTTTTCAGTTTTGAGAATGCAGCAGCTGGTGCCTGCCGTTGCGACGTATCTATGATGCATTTCAACTCCTCACAATATCCAGATTGAAGACAAATCAACTCACTGAAGCACGTTTGATCAACGATTAGGAAACAATTTTGCAAACCTTTTATGTCAGATAAATTAAGAAAGATATTGTACATTCTGCAACAATTCTTCAAATGTAATCAGTGAGGCCGCTTCGATACCATATATACTTAAGCTTCTTTTATTTCCAGTTGGTAAAATCCCAACATGTGGAGGCACCTTTATCTCATACCTTTCCAGTTTTCGGAAAGCAAATCCATTTGGAAGGCATCTATGTTCAATTTGTAGTGACAGTGTGACCAAGCATGAAAGTGAATTTAACTCACTGACTATCGCACAACTTTCCTCTGCCCTAGTAATCTCATCTGAGTGCCAAAAGAAAGAAAGGTCAGCGTATAATTCTTCTAGCTGAGAAAATCTTCGTAACCCATCTTGTGGAATCCTCAGTTGAAACCGACGCACGTCCAGTACTCTCAATTCAGTTAGTTGATCCCCCAATCCTTTGGGCCATTCTACAGCCAAATAAGAACCTTCCAAATCCAGAACTTTAAATGTTGTCAACTTTCCGAGAAAAGAGATGTCATGCAATCGGCAGTGTTTCAGTTTTAGACTTTGAAGATTCGTCAATAATTCAAGTGATTTAAATGACACTGGATCCACATTCATTATAGTTACAACTTGAAGTGCCTTCATGTCTTTAAAAAATTCACCTGGGTCACCATCGATTCCAAAATTCAGTAGTAAAATTTCAAGCCTAGGACAGACCAAGCTTTGAGGAAGCAAATTTATGTCACTACCATTGTCCATCAAGGAAATTGCTGTGCATTGTTCAAGCATTTTCCTTTTAGGCCTCTCCGTCAATCCCATGCTAGCTTTATTCATGAATACATGTTTTCCCTTGGATGCTATCCATATGGCAACATCACGAACCATATCATGCATTTTCACGACCTCTTCACCAGCATCAGGTAGCAAACCCGAAGCCTTCAGGTTATTAACCATTACGCGAAATTGTTTCCTTAACTCTTCAATAGAGCTAACATCTTGGTATAAGTCTAACCCTATTCCAATTCTAACCAATTCGTCTAAAGAGATTTCAGAATCTTCAGGAAACAATGCACATAACAAGAAACAAAACTGGATTTGCTCACCCTTCAAATAATCATAACTCAACTTAAGAGTGGCATAAATACCTCTTTCTCCAGCAACTATGTTCTCCTCCCCTGTAACACTACTCATATCCTCAAGTTTTGAATCTCCTAGTTTTTTATGCAAAATTTTCATTCCTCACTAACCTTTTCTCTTAGAGCACTCCCAATAACTACAAGTGCTAAAGGCAAGCCATCACATTCCTTAGCAATTTTAATTGCCACAGGATTCAAAGTGGATGCATCACCTATGCCTGCATGCCTTTTGAGTAAAACCACAGCTTCATCATCATTTAGAACATTTAGTTGAATTCATGACTGACACTCCATATTGATACAAACTTGTAGTCGACGAGTGGTTAGAAGAATTTTGCAATTCTTGTTATTATCACCAAATGGAATTCCTAATATCGATTTTAACTCAAATTTTCCCCAAACATCGTCCAAGATTACGAGGATCTTCTTCTCTGTCTCTGTGAGTCTCTTGAATAATCGTTGCGCTCTTTCTTCTTCACCTTGCTCCTCCAGTGACAACCAGCTGACCTTGAATATTTTTAAAGTTTGGAGTCTGAGATATGGTAACCATCACAACCTCATTAAAGATCTCCTTCACTCTATTACCTACTTCTTTTGCCAAGGTTGTCTTACACGACCCGCCCATCCCATACAATCCAACCATATAGATCTTATCATTTTTCAGTGCCTCAATAATATCATCAATAGCAGATTTTGAAGACCCGAAAATCTGAAATTGATTAGGCTTTAAAAATTCTATGCCTTGTAGAGTGGTACGATCACCCACTCCATCGAATTTGCCATTGTCTGTTAGCTTCAACATACTGGTTGTCTTCTTTACTGCTTTCCTACCTAACCAATACCGCCAACCCCTATTCTTTTTCACTCCTGTCTCTTCTTTCAATCCCTCAACATCAGCCAGGATCTCGTTGGCATCAGTTAGCCACTTTTCTACATGTCCCTTGATTTTATCAGTATTATTTTTGGCTATTTCAACATCCTTATTCACGTTGTCTCTTGCCAATTTCAAATTGATTTCTTGTTCTTTAAGTTCTTCAACAATTGTGTTGAAACAAAATAGATAACGGACTTGGTTTACTGTCGGCTTCACCAAGTATTCTCCAACCTTTGATGCAATAGCCACAACAACTTCCATCCTCGAACTCTGTTATCAAGAAATTAAGTACATCAGTATAAGATAAAAAAAATAATCATTCACTGATAATTAAATATAAATTGGGATAGAACGTCTTTTTTATATCTTTATTTTTTTTTAAAGTGATAGTCATATACAAAAAATTTGTATATTTTGTGCTTTTAGATAGTGCTGTATCATATATTGATGGCAACCAAAAGCATCAAATATATGCTTCTATACGTTTTGAGGAATTTTACAATCCTTAAAGGTAAGCGTCCAAAATCCAAATCATGACCATAGCAAAACCATTTTAGATACATCCTCAACTAAGAGTGAACCCTCTCATCGTAGGTAAGGGTGCATTTGTTCTTTTTAGACTTGAATTTCCAGAGTATAACCACAAGTTTTCAATGAATAAACCTTTTCCATAAGAAAAATGCCAATATTGTAATCACGTTAACTTATTTGGTCAAATAAATACTGAAGAATTAATACTATATAACTAACAAAACGAAGAATTATTATTATTTCATATACGTAAGTTTAACAAAAGTTAATTTCTCATACCTTTTTTCGTTGGGAGATACCTTTAAGACTTTAACTAGCAAACCACAAGCCTCACCACACGGTTAAACCACACGGCTAACTTCTCTATGAGCTATTACTTACACAGTCGCACACTTTGAAAGACAAGGATGAAACTGCACATGGGAAAGCGGAAAGGACTTTCTTCCCAGCTTACGAGGAGTCTAATTATCCAGGCTTTTTTCACATTAAAAGAAAAAAGTCAATGTTAATTTTCCTTAAAGCTCAAATTGCTTAATGGCTGGTCGAAAAAATCTTGTAAAACTGATAAATTTTTGATTTTGTGATGTGTTGGCATCCCTTGGACCATATGTTCGTGTCGGTGACAGTGACATAACTCACTTAAGAGAGGAGGAAAATAAAAAAAATAAATAAGAGAAAAAGAAAGAATGAAAAAGTGAGAAAATGTTTTATAGGGATATGTGTTGTGATAAATTTTTCATTTTGTGATGTGTTGGCATCCTTTGGATCGTATGTTCCTGTCGGTGACAGTAACATAACATCTCGTTTATACAACATTTCAATTATAATATGATATGATAAAAATTATTCACAAATTTTAAATTAAAAATAAATTTTTAGTTAATTACCTTTTATTATATTATATTATATTATATAAAAATATTATATGTGTTATATTTTGTTATTATTTAAAAGATTTTAAATTCAAATTCTTCATTTGGTTGCTAATAAAGATAATCATTAGTATTTTTATTCGATTGATAGTTTTAAGGATTAGTTGAGGTGTGTATAAATTAGTATGAATATCTCCAATCATAAAAACAAAAACAATAATAATAAATAGAGAGAAAAATGAAAAAAATATTTTTCAATATTGTCACAATAGCAAATGCCCCTTTAAAAAAAAAAAAAAAAAAATTATAGAATTGTGCGTTTGTTTAATTATTCTATTCTTATTCCAAATCAAAATGCATATTTGTTTTCCTATTCTCAAAATCTTATCCTACATTATTTCATTTTTTACTTTTAAATCATACCTCGTAATAACCACCTAACTCACCTAGGGATGGGCATGGGCCGGGGCGAGGTCAGGGACCACTGTCTCCGGCCCTGGCCTAAAAGCCTGAGGGAATTCCCCAATCCCGACCCGAAGCCTGTTCGGGGAATTCGGGGATTCCCCGAATTCCCCGTTTGGGTTTTTTTTTTTTTTAATCCTTAATTTTATACTTTTATTATTCTTTTCTCCCAATTATATATACCAACCAAAAAGAAATTAAATATATAATATACATATTAAACATAAAGACCATATATCATCAAAAAAAAATAAAAAAATTAAATCTATAATGTACATATTAAATATAAAAATCATCATACTAAATTGATCATATTAAATATATAATGTATAACGTTAAATGTATACCATATATAATGTATAATATATAATGTCAAATGTATAACTTTTGTTTCATAGTATTATATATATATATTACAAATATTTATAATAATTTATTATATTTAATCTAGTTTTATTTATTACTTATTTGTATATAGTTTCATAAAATACTTACACAATTATAATTTGTTATTGTATAATGTATAATTAATTTTCAAATATTTATAATGTATATATATATATAAAATATGGGGGCCGGGGACGGGGCAAAGCCAATCCCGACCCCGGCCCGTCCCCGAATTCGGGGGCCAATATTGGGCCCGATCCCAGCCTATAGGCCGAAATTTTCGAGGAAAATCCGCCCCGTTCAGGGTGGGTCGGGCGGATCCCCGCGGGGCGGGCTTTGTGCCCATCTCTAAACTCACCTAACAATATTATTTCAAAAGTTAATTATTTTGACATAATAAGGAAAATACACATACAAACAAATAGAATTATGACAAAGAAAAAGTTGAAAATTAAAATAATATTGACATAATAAGGAGAGAATTATATCTGATAATTCTTAGTGTAGTCATACACCTTATTTGAGTGGTATTTCTAAATGAATATACTGCTGCCGAGACATTCCTTATTGAACAATACTCAAAATAAGAACCATCTAGTGGTGTCTAAAGCTGTCCAAAGTTCCACTAATCAAACTAGTACTGGAATCCTTTACACCAAGAAGCGTAAGTACAACATATAGTTTAAGCAAATTACCTTCTTTACAATGAATAAGATTTAGTTATCTTTGAAGATCTTCATGAATTAAGAGAATAATAATAATGAGTATCGTGAAATAGTTTGAGATTGCTGTAGTTTCTCTTATGTGACTACGTTAAGTAATAATCTAAAATGTGTTTGGTTAACACATTTTAAAAGTGATTATGAAATAATCCATTTTATTGAAGGATTTCAAAAGTAATTATTTCTAGCTTTTAAATTTCAAAATCAGCTTTTACAAATGTCAATTACTAAAATGCCCTAATATTAAGCATTAATTCTAATTTTATTCAATACAAATTCTAATTTTTATTTAAATAAATAGTAAAATCAAATTATTAAAATAATAAAAAATTTGAAAACACAAATTGCATAAACTCTGCTGACCAGATCTGGCAAGTAAGAAACACCTCCGGCATCGTTGGAATCGCCGTCCGACAATCTACGCAATGTTGTTGCAGGTTTGTTGAAATTTGGTGGTATTAAGTTGCAACAAGCTAAAAAAGTTTCAGCCAAACTTTTCCGACTTTCTATGGATAAAGCTACCGGATTTTGACAAAATGACGACATTATTGCATAATTTGCCGGCAAAAGATCTCAATGACGTCGATCGTGTGTATCCACTCGCCGCATGCAGGTTCATCGGTGACAACAGCTTGCCACTGCCAGCTAATTCAATTCTCTTATTTATTTATTTTTTTAAATTTCCAACTCTTTTATTAAGAACTTAATTTTAATATAGTTTACTAATAGAGGGAAAAAAAAAAAAAAACTAATTCAGAATATATCTATTTTGGTTATTTTACATTACTAATATATCAATCCCCAAAAATAAAAGTAATTTTAAAATTAACAAAAATAAACACCCTAATAAATTATTTCTAAAGTTAATTATTTTGAAAATAGATCCATAAATGATTATGGGACAAGCTAAACTAAACCTACAATCTGATCCCACCATGCAAAGCTTTCAACCACCCAAAAAAAAAAAAAAGAAAAAAGGTTCACCCAAATCCCTGAAATTTGAGACTCAGTGATTTGCGACGACACGTACTAGATATGATATTCTGTCATAAGTAAAATTATGTGCAGCATCGTACACAGTAACGGACCTAGGATTTTTGTTGAGGGGGGCCTCTGCGGCTTCATCATTTTTTGTTAACCAACTAGTAAACACTTAAAAAAAAAACCACCAAACCTTAAGCAAAGAAAATAATACAATATCAAGAAGCTGAAAGGAAATGATGCAGAGCACAATACTATCATACTTAAATAAATTTATGAGAAGCAAAACCATGAGTAAATATATTAAAAATCACATCCAACTCACAAGGAAACACAAGAAAATTTTGATGTGGAAAAACCTCTTAAATGTGAAGAGAGCAAAAAAAACCATGAGAATCTAACAATCTACTTAAATTCAATATAATCAGAAGACTTCACAGCAACCACAATCCACCAAAAATATTTCATACAAATTTGGAGTCCAATCACACAACTCTAACATAAGTAAAATACATAAATGTTTACAAAGAAAAAAATTAAAATCCAATCAAACTTTAAGCTATATAACTCCAAATCCAACTATTAAAATCAAAACTCAACCATCGAGATTAAAAATTTAACAAAACTTTGCCTCATTTGCTCATCAGCCAAACATACTACAAAAAATATACTTAAATAAAAAAAATTAGAATTTAGAGCAATATTACTAAACGAAAAGGAGGTAAAAAAACAACAAAGTTTGCCATCATTTCTCATCAATCTAACCGACTAAAAACACTTAATAAATTAAAAAAAAAAAAAAAAAAAAAAAAGAAACTGTAGGATTCTGAGCAAAATACAAAACAAAAGGACTGTAAAAAAAGTGAACAAAATTTAGCATCATTTTGTCATCAACCTAACAAACTAAAAATAATTTAATAAAATAAAATAAAAACCGTAGAATTAAGAGAAAATTACGAAAGATAAGACAGTAAAAAAAAAATAATGAACAAAGCTTTGCCTCATTTTCTCATCAAAGAAACACATAACAAAAGTCAAACAAAAAATAACTACTAATTCAAAGCACAAAAATAAAATAAAATAACCTAACAATTAAAAAAAAAAAAGTAGAAAAATCAACCTCATTTTTTCAGTAACCAAACATGCAAGAAACAGTTGAAAAGAGCGAATACCTTAGAATTCAGAGATTGAAGTTGAAGAGAAGAGTGAGCGTGAGTTTGTGTTCAAAGGTTAAGTCTTATATAGTTATATAAAATTGACAATTATTGGTTTTAAAAGAATGATCATTCTTTCAATTATCTGTATG